CAAGTTGCATACGAGGTTTTAGGAGGGTATGTAGTTTCTAGAGCGAAACTCTTCGAATGGAGAATTCTTATGAGCAGTTCGCCAATCTTTTATTCCGCCTACTTTTGGCTCTGATCTTGCTTTATGTTTAACAAGATGACATATTCTTGAAAAGTTGGCAATCTTAAAATTGTCTCGTAAAAATAATTTTCGCAATGAATATTCATTTTAAAAAAGAAGAAAAAAACAAAGAAAATCCCTAAAAAGTAAGGGAGCTTTAAGTTCAAAACCTCTGAAAAGTGAGAGAAAGAGGGATTTTTAATATCCAGGAAAATCTTTCACCCTGAAAAACGATGCAGGATGTCAAAAAATCCACCCGGTTAGTAGAAAGGGTAGCTGATATTGGGATTCGTTCCCAGGTCCGCGGTGGGGAAAAAACATCCCTCACGTGAACATTCCAGAGTCTTCTCGCAGATTTTCAACTTCCCGTTTTTTCATTCAACAAGCTTTTTCTTTAAGTCATCCACTCAACGAAAAGGTCATTTAGGATGTTCGATTAGACAAAAGTTTGCATTCGCGGATCCAGCAATTTGACCACACCGGATTTCCTCCATTTAAACCTATGGAAATGTATCAATTCTCGGAGGAGCCAGGTGCTGAGACAAGAATCGATTACTTAACATAGACTTACTAGATGGAGAAAATCCGGTGTTGCCAGATTGCTAGATCCGCTTGTGAAAGTTTGTAACTAAGTAACGACTAATGAACAGTTTTAATGTTAGACTCATTCTTACGATTCGGTTTTGGATAATGTCAATGTGCCTAAGGTGTTACGCACGATTATCATGCTAGAGGACGTGCCTTAAGGGTGTCATTATCGATCGGATTATATGCTAAAGTATCATTATTCACCGCGAGAGGCAACCGGAAGAGTGCGTATGTCACCCACACCGCGGCGTAAAATGGTAACTAAATTATACAAGCGAAGAATAAAAAGCGGGAAAGGCGGAGTAGATTGTCAAAAACAGAACGCCGACCGGGATTCGACGCGACGTCCATAAAAATTTTTTCCACCGCACACACGCTATTAAAAATCCATCATAGCTCGGAGCAAATCGTCGCTCCTTCGACGCGAGGGCGAATCGCTTTCCACATGAGCCCCGGAAAGCATTAGGTTGTATGGAGAACAAGGCTCATGTGGGAATTGGGATACGTCCTTACGTCTCAGGGGCGACGAAATAACCTGTCGTTTGAATACGAGGCTGCGCCTCCCGCGGAATGTTTCCGAAGCTCTAGGAAGTCGGAGGTTGCTACGCGCAAAATGCTTCGTGCACGATCTCAATAGGGGCTTTTTCTCGGGTGCTTTGATCCTCACAGCTAGGGGTGTTTTGAATAGCAGCGTTGGCCTTTATAGGTCTTGACGCGCCGCTTAATTGGAAAAGTCTGAAGGCACACGAGGCTATAGGCAGGATTATTTTGTTTCTGATCCGAGCGGAGCTTATTAGAAAAGAAACCATATGGAAGTTTTTCCCCATATTTTTGAGGGGTTTTATAGGGAGTCGGTTGCTCGATTAAAATATGAATGATCCGTTTCTCTCCTCTTTAAAGCTCTGTGTTTTATGATTTTATGCTCCTTTAGCCGATCTAGCTAGTTGGCAACTCTACATTTTGTCCGTCCAAACGCATGTAAATTTGCTTGTTAACGAGGTGGAAGGTGGTAATGGTCCACACCATTTCGCGAGGAAATCAAAGCCAAGAAGTTCCAAAAATTATAATTAGAGATGTGAGCATCGAAAATTTTGACGCGATATTTTCGTTCATTCTGTTTTCTTCGAGGTAACAAAAAAAGTAAATATCCGAGTTTCTGAATCATTACAATGAAAATACATATTTATCTTTCAGTTGGGGTGAAAACCGGCCATGTCAAAAAAAATGACGCGTGGTCCTAGTTTTGCGTCGATTTGAGCGTCACGCAAACAGGGAAGGTAGCGGAGCGCATTGCGTTTGGTGCCATGCGAGAAGTATTCATGCAGTCTTGTAGGCGCTAATATGCGCCTGAGGCCGACGAGACCGCGACCGCACTGGTGCTCGCAATGCGTGAAGTATTATTCCTACAGTCTTGCAGGCGCTGATATACTTTCCGCGCCGACCAGCGGCCGAACTGTGTTACGCGCAATGCGTGAAGTATTCCCGCAGTCTTGTAGGCGCTAATAGGCGCAAAACTAAAAATAAATCTTTTTAACTGCAATGAATACCAGTACAAAACTGATTACAACTGAGTGCTACAGTACAAATAATATTGCATATGTCCACCTTGTTTCATGCAGTATACGGGCCACCTCTTACTGTTTTTTTCTTATTTGCTTGTTAATTATTTTCATCGGATTTCAGAGCGTACATGTCTAAAGCTTTGGGATTTTTTCCTTTTAGTATCACAATAATATCTACAACCACGACCTTTAAGCTTAAAATCAGGAATCTTCACTTTTCAAGCATTCTATTCTTGGGGTTGATGAGATAATTAATCAGGGGTGCAGAACGTTCTTCGCTTTCCCAGTTTTGGACCCAGCTTTCAAATTTTTTGAGCTTACCTTCACATTATTGACCACGTAAGACTTGTGCGCATTAAAGAGCGCTCTTCACTATTTCCTCTTATAAAATATGCGCGTTTACAAACGCTAGGTGCTAAACCACTTGAATAACTGATTGGTCATGATACATCATTACGCGAATCTAAGCGTTTACTTTCGAATGTAAATTGTAAAACGTAGGGGAGGTAGACATGTGGTGTTTCTGAAATAAATTTTCACATTTAACAACGCTTCTCTGGTACCTTGACACTGGTGAACGGTGAAGATGGTGTTCGCAATAAAAGGAGGCAATTTCACGGTGGGAAACTCATGCCTTGGCGAGTAATTTTCGATGGGCTCGCCGGAGCCGTCAGAAATCGGGCGATCGATGCGAATACGAGTCGAAATAATTAAAAGCATCGCCGAGCAGCGATTTATTTTTGCCGTCTCGTAATTACTTTTGCGCGCCCCCCAGCCATATTTTTTTCATAACCGCGGTGGCATCGTTACGGCCTAGCGGACGGAGTAACGGAGCCTCTTCAAACAATCATCCCTAATAGCCCTCTTTGCGGAGTTGCCAGATAATCAAAGCCTTTTACGGTCTCAATAATTCAAAAGAGGGTTCCGGTAACTTTATTCTGGATAGTGACAGCATATTCCTACGCATTGGCAATTTTCTTCTTCTTTAGTAAGAAGGGAAAATATTTTTTTCTGGGCACTGAAATCGCAATTTCTTTTAAAATGTTTTTTTTTCCTTCGAAAATTACCTAACCAGGCCTGAAATTACCCAAACTGCCGCAATCAAACCTAATCTCACCTGAATAGATCTCACGCAACGATTTGTACTGGCACTCACCTTAAATTTTGTAAGTTGACATGTTTTTAGATTTTAACTTTAAGAATGAACGTAATAGTTGCGTTATCGGGGAGATCTCTGTGGGGCATTTCTACAAGTGTTTCAGCTGTTGATTTTCTCCACAAATGCTCAGGAGGGTCAATGGCAAATACGAAGTTTTTCACTTTTGTGGTGAAACATCGCAAGAGCTGTTGTTTCCTCATTTATATAATTAATTGGAGAAGATCGACAGCAATAAAGCGTTTTAGGACTTAAAAAAAAGCGATTGTAATGTAAATAGTGGGGACCCCATTGGGTTTCCTTAGGATCCCCGCAAATTGTCATAGGAATCTGGGCCAATTCCCAATAGGTCGCTCATGGGAACCTGTACAATATCCCATCGGGGTGTCTACAAGTCCAGAATTTCCGGAAAGTCCAGAAAAAAACCGAGTACTGACTTTTTAGGGGCGGTCCGGAAACACCGAAAAAGTGCGGAAACTCCGCAAGAAAGTCCGGATTTTTTAGTCGTCATTTGAGCGAGAAATTCAAATTTTTAGAATGTTTCGAATTTCGGCAATGGGAGGTACTGAAAAAATACTGAATTTCTCTATTGAAGAGGCACTGAATTTCTCGGGAATGTACTGAAAAAGTCGTCGGCCTCCTATGGTGTAGTGGTTGTAGCGCTTGCTCTATAATCGGGAGGTCCCGGGTTCGATTCCCGGCCACGCGACCCGAGTTTGATGGTCTCAAACAATGGTTGCCTGGGGCTGGTTCAGTAGGGACGGAGGGGGGATGGGATTTAAAGCGTGGGATTAGCCCTTGTGGGCTATTTGAAGTAGTGGAAAAAAAAAAAAAAAAAAAAAAAAAAAATTGAGCT